ATGGATAAACATTCCTAAGCTGTTATTTTATATTCACCACTCAATACAATTACCTGAGTTTATTTGGAAAATCGTAAACTGGATTTTTTAAAATCTTATTCTTAAATGTTTTGTGAAAGGCGGTAGAAACAAATACCAGACAGGCAGCATTTCTAAGGTGAACAATTTGGTAATTATCAGGTACAGAGGCTGCTTCCCCCATGGATAAACATTCCTAAGCTGTTATTTTATATTCACCACTCAATACAATTACCTGAGTTTATTTGGAAAATCGTAAACTGGATTTTTTAAAATCTTATTCTTAAATGTTTTGTGAAAGGCGGTAGAAACAAATACCAGACAGGCAGCATTTCTAAGGTGAACAATTTGGTAATTATCAGGTACAGAGGCTGCTTCCCCCTTGACAAATAGTTCACTAGTAGAAACAAAAGTTCAGCGGCAAAATGTCGAGAGCTGACAAAATGATCTATGGAACCAGGTGTGGTGCTCCACCCAAGGAATCTAGCACATTGCTCCCCAGAGTTCAGCACCCTGTAATTTAGAATGTGTCATCGCCCAGATACATTTTAGTTCAAATTCAGAAGCTGGTGCTCACAAGGAATAACCCCGTCCTTTGCATTATTCCTCGAGGCCCCATAGACGCGGGAAATGAAGGCAGGGAAACTTGAGAGGATCCCAAGAAACCAGATGGTTCCCTCATTGAGATGTGCTCAAAAAATGGTATGTCCACAATTATACAGGCAGAGTCCCCGCTACCTAATGCCGACAAGTGACATTCAAATGTATCCACAGGTGAGGAATAAATCAATCCCCTAGAAAAGCACACGTGTCAAAAGGCTGGGCACATTTATTGGCCTGCATCCCGGAAGGTAAGCAACTACCTGCATGACTTCCCGACAGCAGGGACCTGGATAATGGCCCCATATATATGCTATTTTGGGTGGGTTTGTCCCACAATTGATGGTCACTTTCTTCCCTGAAAAAGGGTGCACCTCACAATTCCCTTTCTCGTACCCAAATTCTTGCAATCATCTTCCCATTAGCCTGGATCTAGATTGTTATCGATGCTTCGGACCCATGCACAAATGTCACCAGCATCTTTACCTCTATGGACTGGATTTTCCTGGTGTCAAAGTGCCAGAGCTCACCTCTCTGAGGGTATGTCTACACTACCACCCTAGTTCGAACTAGGGTGGTAGTGTAGACATACCCTGAGAAAGCTTTAGAGGAGCCTCTTCCTGCAGGGTGTCCTGAATTGGGCAGCTGAAGGCCTTTTGAATGATGCCCAAACATGGCAGATGGGCTATTTATTTGCTCCAAAGCCTTCCAGCCTCTCCCTCCCTGTCTCTTCACTTCAGCCTCACTCCACCTGCCCTTCGTACTCTCTTCCTTCCATCCTCTTTCTTCCTCCTCTCCCCACCCTGCAGCATCCTCTCGCCCTCTTTGCCTCTCAGGCCACATCTACACTAGGGGATCATTTTGAATTTACTAAGTTCAACTTCTGGGCACCCGATTTTACAAATTCAAACTAGCGTGTCCTCACTACAGGGAAGCCTCGAAATTAGTCGGAGGCAGGCTCCGTTACCGTGGATGCGCTACCTCAGACTCAGAGCCCCAAGAAGCAGTCTGGGCAGCTGCGATAGGTCTCCTGCAGAACAACGAATTCAAATGAGCGGCACTGGAGTGTTCACACTAACGTTATTTTGGAGGGACCTCATGTTACTCCTCATGGAAAGCAGGACTACAGAGTTTGAATTCCACAGCTGCTTACTCCGGAAGAACGATGCTTGGTCCTGCCGTGAGGGCTTGGTACTGTAAAAATTGACCTGGGAGTGGTAATTTCATACCAAGGTCCTAGCATACACCACGCTCAGATTAAAGAAGACGGCCCAAAAACAGCACTGGCTTCTCCGTTTATAGAATCACCGACTCATAGAACATGAGACCTGGAAGAGACCTCAAGAGGTCATTAAGTCCAGTCCCCTGCCCTCACGGCAGGATCAAGCACCGTCTAGATCATCTCTGACAGGTGTCTGTCCAACCTGCTCTTAAATATCTCCAGTGATGGAGATTCTACAACCTCCCTAGGCAACTTATTCCAGTGTTTAACTACCCTGACAGGTAGGAAGCTTTTCCTAATGTCCAACCTAAACCTTCCTCATTTCAATTTGAGCCCATTGCTTCTCGTCCTATCCTCAGAGGCCAAGGAGAACAATTTTTCCCCCTTCTCTTTGTGACTCCCTTTTAGGTACTTGAAAACTGCTATAATCTCTCCTCTCAGCCTTCTCTTTTCAAAACTAAACAAGTCCAATTCTTTCAGTTTTCCCTCATTGCTCATGTTCTCTAGACCTTTCATCATTCTTGTTGTTCTTCTCTGGACCCTCTCCAATTTCTCTACCTCTTTCTTGAAACGTGGTACCCAGAACTGGACACAATACTCCAACTGTCGCCTAATCAGCGCAGAGTAGAGCAGAAGAATGACTTCTTGTGTCCTGCTCACAACACTCTTGTTAATGCAGCCCAGAATCATGTTTGCTTTTCTTGCAACAGCGTCGCACTGTAGACTCATATTTAGCTTGTGGTCCACTATGCCCCCAGCTCCCTTTCTGCCGGACTCCTTCCTAGACAGTTGCTTCCCATTCTGTATGTGTGAAATGGATTGTTCCTTCCTAAGTGGAGTACTTAGATGGCAACCACTTCAGGGCAGGAACTGTTGGCTATTCTATAATTGTCCAGTGCCTAGCACTGTAGGGCCCAGTCCTGCTGGGTCCCTAGCTACTGCCACAAGAAGCATAAATAAAGACTAAGACCTGAGATCTCATAGTATCCAAGATTGCTACCCCACGTTCCTATCAGCCCTTAAACTTACTGAGACATTCTGGGACAGGACCCTCTACACTTTGAAGGAAAGAACGGCCACACTGGGACTCAGATCTGGATTTCTGGCTTCTTTCTTCTTCCTGTTCACAGCCTGCACAAGTAAGTGGGGGGGGGGTCTGCAGTGTTAGGGGGGGCTGATGTGGGGGAGCCTTCTGGATGGGTGGGCATGAGGCGGGATGTCCATTACTATGTAGATCTCGGCACAAAGTGGGGGTACATCTGATCTGAGTCTACTGTCCCAGAGACCCCTTCAGTCATGGGGCAAAAGCAGCTGCTACCACCATGGGTGGGGGAAGATTCCTGACTACATCTCCCAGTGGCCAGTCCCCACGCCACCTAGATTTTAGCCTGGGGACACAATTTAACCAGGAGGACTGCAGAATCTCTAACCAGCTCATCTCGCTAATGAAAACACCTGTCCGGCCACCCAAGCATTTCTTGATTCTGCCCTGATGCACAATACACAAGGTCTTGAATGCAGATCAAGCCCTCCGAAGTGGGATGCGTTGTGTTATGGGTTGCCTTCTTTCTGAGCACATCCTTCATTTGGTTGTCTTTCTTCGGATGGTTATCGTCTTTTCCGCAGACAAAGGCGGGACATTGTCAATGAAAACAAAGTTTGGGTGAAATGTGCACCAGTCTGCTGAGGCTGGCCCCTTGCGGACTAGAATTGATCTTTCAAGTCAGAGGAATATCAAAAGGATTCTCTCCTGCCGAGCAGAAGTTTTGAAACTCTAATCTCAGCAAACTTTTTAAGCTTTTCATAGAGGGTTTTTTGGGGTTTGGGGAGTGGGTTGGGGTTTTTTTTTCCCTGTGTGACAGTTCTGAATGAAACAGCTTTTCCTCGGAAAGTTCGCTGGGAGGGCCTATCATGGTTTTTCCCCTACCACACTTATTGCACACACACAAAGTTAAAAAGTCTCCTTCACCTTGTGAACGATAGTTTATTGTGTGCGACTCTTTTCAGTGGCTCCCTTACATCTGGCTCCTTCTCCCCTTGTAAATCCCAACGGGTGTAATACTAGCTGAGCGCGGCCTTTTTATAGCAAAAGCACACACGCGTCTCATTTACCACCAGCTGACTTTGGACGCTGTATTAAAAATAATAGAACGTGCTTTCCCAAGGGCAAAGAATTGAAAATGTCCAGTGCTGACTGTATTCCTGATCACCCCGCCAGCTCCGGCTTGGTGAAGAGATTAAAGTCTGCCCTGGAAGTCGGGGATGAGAACACGGTGCTGGATTTGATCTGTACGGAGCTTAAGCACATGAACGCCACCATAGAACTATCAAATGATGACTGGATGAAGGAGCCAGACGCCCCGCTGCACCCTTTAGTGCTAGTAGGTAATGGCAACATTTTTTTTAAATGGTAAAAACAGATCCTTAAATTATCATGAGTGTTTTAATTCTGTAATGAACCAGCATTCATGAGAGGGAAGAAACTGACCAATGAAATGTTGTTTACTTGAAAATTAGATATAGTCCAAGGGCTTGTCTTCATGACACGGAAGATCGCCACTGCCGCAATCAATCTCTCGGAGTTTGATTTAGCGAGTCTAGTTAAGACTCGCTAAATCAAACTGTGGGGGTGCCCTGCCGGCGGCCGGTACTCCTGCTCTTGCAAGGAATAAGGGAAGCCAATGAGAGCATTTGCTTACGTCTGACTACTGCTGTGAGGATGCCCCCAAGCTTGGCTTAAGGTAAGCCAACTCCAGTTACGTATTTTACATAGCCAGAGCTGTGTACCTCTAGCAGAGTTGCCGGGTCTAGTGCAGACCTGGCCTAACAGGCACGGGTTTTCCATGTTATGCGCTTGCACGTTAGGCTTGCTCCAAACTTGATGATTATCACGCTTGTTTCTCCTCTTTCCTGTATTCTAGCCTGTACTCAGTGCTGGCCGTGTTTAAAACAATTGAATACATTATTCTAGCAGACAGGCCTCCGTAAGTGCAGCAATCAGGTCAGGATCAAAGATCAATTTGATCTCCATGGTGAAGAGCGTTTCTCAACCCTACCTTGCATTAGAACAATTTCCAGGCAGGCGACATTCATAAATTGAACTCTGTTGGCGTCTGCCTTTCTCTATAAATTAGGGTTTGGACGAAAGCCCGTCTAACAGAGCTAAGCACTCCATCCCCTCCCTAACTGGACTAATCACAGGAATCTTTCCTATCCTAGCACTCAGGCCTCTAATTGCCAGGTTACTGAGGTGTGCTGGCTTCCCTGTCTGCCTGGTGTGCACGGGTCACTGTCACCTCCCAAGCACTCACTCGTGGCTGCGTGTGGCACTGCTGGGGCCTGCCTCAGTTTCCCCTGTGACAAAGTAAGAATTAGGTCCCTTTAATTTAGGTCTCTCTCGGTAGCTCGGCAGCTTCTTGGGCGCTTCGTCTCAGCTTCCTCTAGCAGCTACTGCTGCTACTGTAAGCCCCAGGCTTCTTGGCTGCCAGGGTAGCTCCTGAATCTCTCTTGGAGAGTCCGAGACTCACCCGGCCTCCCTACCTGGACACCTTTGCAGTCCCGTCTGTTGGTTCAGTCTCCGGCTCCGGCTTGCCTGGTGCCTTCTGTAGCATCCCTGCCTTAGCTTGCAGCTTCCCTTTTATAGCCAGCTAAGTACCAGCCACTTCCCCTTTACCTGCGGTGGGCAGGCTTTTTGGTTTCTAGGCCTCTGGCCTTAAAGAGCAAGCCACGATCATGCCATCTCTCAGTGGCTGTGTCTAGACTGAAGAGCTTTTCCAGGTATCCAAGGAACGCATCTGCTTTTTCGGAACAGTTTCTGGAAAAGCGGACGTGTTCTTTCGGCCTCCCTGTATTCCCCTCGGTGAGAGGAAGAAGGAATATTCCAAAAAAGGAGTTCTTTCCAAAATTTGGCCCTGTGTAGACAGGCCAAATTTCGGAAAAGCCTCTTTCGGGAAAAAAGCAGAGAAGAATATGCAAATTGTGGTTCGCAATTTATGTATCTTTTTCCAACTTTTCTTGGCAGTCTAGACCAGCGGTCCCCAACCTTTTGGGGCTGCCAGGTGCCTGGGGGCGGCACCGCACATGCGCCACGCGCCCGGGGTGGGGGCCGCACATGCGCTGGGGCCCAGGGCACAAGAATGGCTGGGGCCAGCCCTGGTCACTAGGCGGCACATATAAATGCCCCAGAGGGCACCATGGCACCCACAGGCACCGCATTGGGGACCACTGGTCTAGACATAGCCAGAGTGTGCCAAAATGCTCCCAAATCACAAGATAGAAGATAGAAGAGAATCAGTCTCAAGAACAATGTGCTTATGTAAGCCACACACGTAGACTTAGACTTGAGTCAGGCAAATAATTCATAACGAAGGATTTATTGGACAAACTTTGCCTTTTTCTCCATTGCAGTTGTCTCTCATTAATTTAGTCTGTACAGCGTGAGGAGACAATCAACTGCAAGAACTCAATGTGTAATTACAGGTTGAACCTCTCCAGTCCGGCACGCTCGGGACCTGACTGGTTCCGAGCTAGAGAATTTGCCGGACCACGGGAGGTCAATGTTGTCTAGCAGCATCACCAACACTTCCACTGCTCAATGGGCTCTTAGAAGACATTTAGGGGTAAATTCAAGCTAAATAACAGCTCAGAACACTGAGAGCCAGGACTGGTGGCTGTGAGCAAACTTTATGGGACCATGGGAAACTTGGCCACACCCATGATAAGCGGACACTCAGTGAACTAAAATCATGCCGGATCGCGGATGTCGCCGGATCAAAGAGTGCTGGACTAGAGAGGTTCAACCTGCCTGAGCTGTTGTAACGGGACATCTAAGTCACATGAGTAATTTCCACAGGTAAATAACTCTCGCGGTAATTATAAACATATCCGCTCTCTTGCAATAAAGCAAACTGTCTCTGGGAATGAGAAAAGGGCCTTCGGGGGAAAGATGCCATGCTTTGTAACAAGATACATGCATCCTCCCTCTGTGTGCTCACCGCCTGAGAATGCAGTGCTGACAGAAGAATGGGTCTCTTCCTCCTTCCTCGGGGTGAGCTGTCTAGAACAGAGCAGTTTGAGAGGAAAATGAAGCGAGGAAGCAGACCCCAAAAAGTGCATCCTTACCGGGGTGGTTCGAGCAGACGTGATTCCCTGAAAGAGCAGGGGAAAGGGAAGCCTCGGTCAACCCGCTTTTAGCAAAGCATGCTGGGAAGAGAAGTCTTGGAGCCTATCAAATGCGGGATCTTCTACTGCAACTTTCGTGCTGGTAACAATAGCTCAGGATGGACGTCCCTGGTCCGGCGCCCTCGGGATCTGACCAGTCGTGGATGAGGGATTTTGCTGGAGCAGGGGAGGTCATTTCTGGCCCCCTGCCCTAGGCCAGCTGCCGACCTCCTCTCTGGCTCCCTTCCCCCAGCCCTGCTGCCAGCACCACTGACCTGGCACCACCAGGCTTCCTAGCCCCACTGTGGTGCACCGGGCTCCTGGGCCCACCAGGCAGCCCTTCTGCCACACACTGGACACCCTGCCCCACTGGTCAGCCCCACGGCCATGCAACGGGCTCCCTGCCCCATTGGCCAGCCTGACAGCCATGCAACAGGCACCCTGCCCCAATGGTCAGCCCCACGGCCATGCAACAGGCACCCTGCCCCACTGGTCAGCCCCACAGCCATGCAACAGGCACCTTGCCCCACTGCTCAGCCCCACAACCATGCAACAGGCTACCTGCCCCACTGGTCAGCCCCACAGCCATGCAACAATCATCCTGCCCCACTGGTCAGCCCCACAGCCATGCAACAGGCTCCCTACCCCACTGGTCAGCCCCGCAACCATGCAACAGGCACCCTGCCCCACTGGTCAGCCCCGCAGCCATGCAACAGGCTCCCTGCACCACTGGTCAGCCCGACAGACATGCCACAGGCACCCTGCCCTGCTGGGCAGTCCCACAGCTGCACTCTGGGCTCCAGCAGCCTGACGCCCTGCCAGCCATCCATCAGGATTCCCTGCTCTGTTTTCCCCGGTCCTGCCGGACCAGGGATGTTGCCGGAGCAGAGAGTCCCAGTGGAGAGATGTTCAGCCCGTACTAATGGAGGAAGTCCGTGTCTGATAAGAACACTGGCACATACGCTCTGGGGAGATTCTTCTGCTTGAAGCATTTTCATTGCATGGCAATAAAGCTCAGATTCATGGCTTCATGGCCCACGTGATGAATATTTTCCAATATTTGCTCCATTTCTCGTTTCCACAAAAACTCCTGCTGCTCTTGCACCTGCTTAATACTTTCACAGACCTCAAGCATCAGAGCTAAGATAAGGAGTCGAAAAACCCCAACATGCCTATGTAAAAATCTTCTGATTGCTAAGCCAATCCTGCGATTGTGAGTCCTCGGGAGGGACAAAATTGGAGGCTCTCATTTGAAGCCTCTACAATGTTATAAACTAACGAAGCTGTGATGAGGTGGCTTCAGGGTAATAAATTAGTAAACATGCTCTCAATTTACTCTTTTTAGTGTTGCATATGGTGCTCTTTCACATGACAATAATGAGTTTTCCTTAATAACGTGAAATCAGCTCAGACACTTTGAGTCATTATTAATAGACACACTTGATCTGAAGACGTAAAATTGCTTAATGTTTTGTTAAATGAGGTGTACTCTACAAATATTCATATTCAGAAAGCAGGATAAGATACTACAGCATATTAAAGATTAATGATTGTAAATTCCGTTGCTAATGGAGCAGGCACGTTTGGGTACGATACCTTTATGGGCCCTATCCTGCAAATGCAGCCATGAGTTATCTTAATGGATTTACTCCTATCTGTAGCAGAGTTACTTGCATAATTATTGTCAAGATCAGAACCTAACATGAAGCCCTGTTTGCTAGTCTGCAAAATAATAAAGTGAAACTTAAGCCAAGGACTTTCTCTAGGGGCATGTCTAGACTGCATCCCTCTGTCGGCAGACGGATGCAGATTAGGCAGGTCGACATTGCAAATGAAGCAGGGATTTAAATATCCCGTGCTTAATTTGCATTAAAATGGCCGCCGTTTTTGCCGACTCCGCACTTTGTCAGCAAAAAGTGGCAGTCTAGCGGGGGATCTGTTGAGAAAGAAAGCCTTTTTCGACAGATCCCTTATGCCTCCTGCAAGGAGGTTTACAGGATCTGTCAAAAAAGGCTTTCTTTCTCAACAGATCCCCCTCTAGACAGCCACATTTTGCCGATAAAGTGCTCAGTCAGCAAAACACGGTGGCCATTTTATGCAAATTAGGCGCCGGATATTTAAATCTCTGCCTCATTTGCAATGTTGACCTGCCTAATCTGCATCCATCTGCCGACAGAGGGATGCAGTCTAGACATACCCTTGAGGACTAAAAGGAAGAATGACAAAAACATTGAAACTAGGAAGATTTTGGGACAAATCATGGTGCGGTAAGGAAGCATTTTACTCACAACTAGTGACATTGATTTGAAAGGAACGAGACAGAACTAATTTATTTCAATTGGGCAACATGTTTTACTCATTTTTTTTAATGGAAAAGGGCATTTGGGAGGGCCCAATCATGTTTGCCAAATTTGTGTCGAATTCAAAGAATAGGTTCAGTTGGGGGGGGAAATCAGAAGAGTAAACATGTTTCTTTTTCACATTTTTGTTTTGGTGTCGATTTTTACTTTGAAATGGCATTTTGATGTCAATTTTGACCAATTAAAAAAAAAACCACACACACACAGAAAAAAGATGAAAAACACCCAAAATGGCCAAATCCAAATGGAAACCTTGAATAATGTTTTGGTCCATTCAAAACAAAACAATTTAATTTGATCAAAAAGAATTGTTTCAGTGGAATCAAACCAGTGTTTTGGGCAGAGTTTTGGGGATTTTTCAGCTTATCCCGCAAAGACTAAAAATGCATTATTCGCTCACCTCTGCCCATCCTCATCAACTAATCAGAAACTGATCTCCTATGAACATCCGTTCCTGCTCTCCATACTAATAGACTGATGCAGAAAAGAGCATCAAAATCATAATATTTAAAGGCAGCCAAAAGAACACAGCTTTATCCAGGGTTGTGGAGTGATCCTGCATCATCACTAATCTAATTCCTGACCAAGTCATAACAAAAATGAATTTTCCCATGCCAAAAGAGCAAAAGATATGTGTCAGTCTTGAGTATTTATTTTTTGTTAAGAAAAACAACATAGAAAGAACGAAGTCCCAGGTGTCTCTAGACTACAAGGATTTTTTCGAAAAAAAGTGGCCTTGTTTCGAAAAATCTTTACCTGCATCCAGACTGCTGCCACGTTGTTTCGAAAGTAAATCAAAAGAACGTGGCAGTTTTTTTGACCATGGAAGAGGAAGAATGCCTTTTTTCAAAAGTGCTCTTTCGAAAAAAGGGGCTATGTAAGGCAAACTGTGCTTTTTCGAAAGAGAGCGTCCAGGCTGCCTGGGTTTTCTCTTTCAAAAAAGTGGCTTGCTTTTTTGAAAGTACTGATTATAGTCTAGACACTCTTTTTTGAAAGAGGCTTTTTCGAAAGTATCTTTGGAAAAAGCCTCTTTAGAAAAAGGCGTGTAGTCTAGCCGTAGTCCATGTTGCAGGAAGGAAGAGAATCTTGTACTTTTAACAATGAAGTTCATGGCATGTCAACAGCCACATTCCCTATAAGCTGAGAGTGTGGTCAGTTGCCAGGAGAGATTCAGGTGCTACCCAGCTGATTAGTAGAGCACCCAAACCCACCAGCATGTGTTTCTACTAGTGGTACACATCTGCACGCACCTTGGTGCACATAAAAAATTATTCTGCACATTGGTCTACATCTCATTTAAGTTCCACTGAGCATGTATTGGTGGTAATCTATTGGGGAAGCAGTGTGGCCTAGCATGCAGGGTGCTGAATTGAGATACTTAGAAGACACTGTTCTGTGCCCGGCGTCTGTAGAACAGCATAATTACTTGATGTGAAACCCAGTCACCGCTAATGGCTCTTTTGTGCTCAGAAGCATACGAGAGTAGATAGCACTGGAAATATGGATCATCATCTCAAAAAAATCAGACTCCTAGATAACCCACTGTCGTTTTACACAGACTCCAGAGGACTACAAGGGTGGGTCTAGACTACAGGTTTTTTTCGAAAAAAGTAGACTTTTTTCGAAAAAACTTCACCTGCATCTAGACTGCAGCCCCTTTCTTTTGAAAGTAAATCGAAAGAACGTGGCAGTTTTTTCGATTGCGGTCAACCTCATTTTACAAGGAATGATGCCTTTTTTTCGAAAGTGATCTTTCGAAAAAAGGCGCTATTGCATGCAAACTGTGCTTTTTCGAAAGAGAGCATCTCGACTCTCTTTCAAAAAAGCTGCTCGCTTTGTCGGTAAATCTGCTTGTAGTCTAGATGCTCTCTTTCAAAAGAGGCTTTTTCGAACGTATCTTTCAGAAAAACCTCTTTCGAAAGAGGCTTGTAGCCTAGACATACTGCAAGTGATGTCAATTCATACAGCCAGGAAAAAAGAGACGTTAAAGGCCTGTGGGGATGGGGGTGGGATTCTTTTAGTATGGGAACATTTTCCTGCCAGACTACGCCGGTCTCTTTCTCTGCCAACCTGCTGTCTGGAATTAAAAGTGGGCATTTAATCACAGAGGTGCTGACACAAACCCGCACTGTGAACATTTGACCTTCGCTACCTCCTTGTGATTACATACATACATATGTATGTATATAGAACTAGGCATATGACCATTGCTGTATCAAGTAACCTTTATCATCTGACCCGCCTGGAGTTATAAATACCACAACAATAGAGCCCTCAATTACAATTGGACAATGGTGCCGGGACAATGGAAATAACTAGCTATAAAAGACCATCGCTCCTTGCAGCGAGGTCTTGCACGAAAATAAGCTGCCATGGATGAGCTGCCAGGACCTGTCACGGAGAAGCTTCAGATCCTACCCAGAGTGGAATCAGACACCCCACTAATGGCTCACGCTCCGGCAGAGAAGTACTACACAGCCCTAGTCACGGGAGACCTGCGAAACCTCCAGGTCGTGACTGATAGATACTACGAAGACGTCAATGTGATTTTTGAGATCAGCCAAAACGAGCTGGAATGGCAGGTGAAAAGCCAGGCGTCCTATGGACTGTCAGGTACTCTCGTGGCTTCAAAAGCCAGCGGGCACTGACTAACACCGACCGAGAGCAAGGTGCCCTGTGTGCAGAGGCAATTTGTGACCCTCTGGTTTTGAAGGCGCTTGCTAATAGGTTTCAGAGGGGTCTGATTTCCGAGACGGATGATACCGTCTGCTCAGTGGATGCAGGGCGTGTGCTAAATGTTTGCAGTCTCACACTGTTTGCAAGTGCTCTAGACAGGGCCTGGTGCTGCAAAGTCTAACAACTCTAAGCTAAAATGCTTGGTGATTTAGGAGCCGGACGGGTTTTTAAGAGTGCACTTGGGGAGGGGGCGTTGGATCATCGTAGCCAAGGTGCTCGTACCAAAGAGAGTCCCAGATCGTGTTGCTCACAAGCAGCATTGCAGGCGAGGCAGGAGGATAAAGGGGCGCAGAGCCAATCTGCAGCAGGGGGCGCTTGGCAGAGGGTACCTGGGGTGTCTGAGGTCACATTGACATTGGGCACACAGAGGGCAGAGCAACCGGCACATTTCTGAGGGCTGGCTTCACCCAGGAATGCGGAGGCCGGGAAGCCAGTCACCTGAAAGGAATGCACACATCTCGTCCTTTGCAAATCCCAACTCCAGCGCTGCCAGGGCAGTTGTCCGGGGCAGGGCCACAAGGTGTTACATTCCCACTCGGCTCCGTTGCTTCAGGCCCAGTGTGTGTCCAGCCAGCGCCGGCTGGCCCCCTGGATGAACAGAAAGCCACCCGGGGGCCAGCTACCGCTTCCAACAGGTTCCAAATCGGTATTGGATGCAGGTGGGTAATTAATGAGCTGTCTTTGAAAACTTCTCAGCGGGGGCTCCGGGGAAGAAGTTAAGTTGGTGAATAAGGGACCTTCTGCAGCTCATTACAGGCACAATATCGATTCTTCCATCATTATAAGACGGTATTCCCGCCATGTTAAATCCGGCCCATTGATGTGCATTCACTGGGGAATTTTTTTTTCCCCGATAGCCACCGCTGCTCAGAGTGGCTAACAACCTTCCACGGGCCTTTTTGAAAGCCCCCTCTGTTTTCAGAGCATGGAAAAAATGTACAGCATACCGCTCAGTTTTATTCAGCAAAAAGGCAGTGGCTCCACACACAGAGAACTTAAAAGGCGGAGGAGAAATAAACTAGAATCGTGTTGCATGAGGAGCCAGGAGTCCTTCCCCCAGAGCAATGTGCATAAAAGAGCTGTGAACGCTCAGGCATTTTTCGCAGGCCAAAACTTTCTCATCTTCCTTTTCCTGGGCACTGTGAGCCAGGCAGGAGAGAGAACCGGCGGGTGCCATGTCTCTTTGTTTTGCATCGTATTTTAATTGCTCAGGTCAAGTCAACCTCAACACGGTTGGGTTGACAAGAGTTGTCTTACGCTGGCTATGTCTACGCTTCTGGGTTTTTTCCAGGAAAAGGTACGCAAATTGCAATTTGCATACCTTTTGCCGATTCTTTTTTCAGAAGAGGCTTTTGCGACATTTGGCCCATCTACACTGGACCAAAAGTGGGAAAAACCTCCCCTTATTCCTCATATAGGGCTCATCTAGAGTACGCGGACGATTTGAAACAGGATATGCAAATTCTGCGGGAATGGGCATATCTTTTTCTGATCTCACTTTCGAAAGAGAAAGCAGTCGGTACGTGGTTTTTTCAGCACCCCCCTCCCCCCGCTTTTCGTTGACTACTTTCACTTTCGAAAGCTCCCCTTGCGAAAGCGAGATCGGAAAAAGATATGCAAATTCCAGCAGGATCCTCTTTTGAATCTTCTGCGTAGTCTAGATGAGCCCAAAATGAGGCATACAGGGCTTCTGAAAGAGTGCATCTACACTTCCAAAAAAAATTTTGGAAGAGCATACACGTTCCCTGGATGCGGCGGAGAATAGACACAGGCCTCACTGTGAAAGGGCCCTCACTTAAATTTGGCTCCTATTACTGCAATTTCCTTCTCTATGCTTATCTCTTTACACCACATCCCCGAGTGGCGCAGAGTCACTGTCTACGTACGCAGGTGGACACGGCATCATTCTAGACACGGGAGTTGCTTACGCCAACTTTGGCTTCCTTTCGGGAGTCACACCACACTGTCCAGCACGGTTGGTACTATTGATAAGAACTCTCTGGGGAGGAAGCAGGAGCTAAGTGTGAACACACAAGTGATTTTATAACTGCGGCAGCTGCATGCCGCCATAAGTTAGGGTGAAAATATTTTGTAGTGAGAAGTGGCCTTTCTACAGCTGCAAAGTATAATAGTTACAGGAGAGCAGTTTGCAAAGATCTAAAAGGGTGTCACAAGGAGGAGGGAGAAAAAATTGTTCTCCTTGGCCTCTGAGGACAGGACAAGAAGCAATAGGCTTAAATTGCAGCAAGAGAGGGTTAGGTTGGACATTAGGAAAAACTTCCTACCTGTCAGGGTGGTAAAACACTGGAATAAATTGCCCAGGGAGATTGTGGAATCTCCATCACTGGAGATATGGAAGGGCAGGTTGGACAGACACCTGTCAGGGATGGTCTTGTTCAGGGTTTCCCAACCTATGACTCGAGACCCAAATATGGGTCGCCATTACATTTCAAAAGGGTCGTCAGGTCGATGTCTCCCCAGGTGGCTCTTAAGGAGCCATTCACACATGTTTTTTTAATTGCCCTGGGTCACCAAGTCTTCCTGAATTCTCAAAATGGGTTCCCATCTGGAAAAGGTTGGGAACCGCTGGTCTAGATGGTGCTTGGTCCTGCCGGGAGGGCAGGGGACTGGTCTTGATGACCTCTCGAGGTCCCTTCCTGTTTTATGACACTGTATAAAATAACAGGCCACTCCACCTTGAATGATCCCTTAGCATAAGTAGTTAGCACATATTTAAGCCACTCAACCCTGTATTTAGTGCAGAGAACCTGTCCCAGACATGAGAACGAGTTCTGAGTAGCTCAAAAACTGGTCCGCTCACCAACAGTAGTTAGTCCAATAAAAAGTATCACCCGCTCTCCTACACCTTGTCTGTCTGGTGCAGAAGGGAAAGTCTCTGACATCTGTGTCTGTTACTGACCCCACTGTAATGATCACAGGAAGGGAGGCCCGGCTACCCCTTTGCAGATTGGAAATGGAGACACTTAAAAATTAAGGGACATGCCCAAAGCCACACAGGAAGACTGTGGCAGAACTTGGCTCTCAGGGACCCCTGCCCTGTGCCCTTCCCATCAGTCCATCCTTCTCATGTTCTTCTCTCTCTGCCCGCCAGGCCTGTGGTCCCTAGAGTACAAGAGGGAACTGACCACCCCACTGTGCATCACTGCCAGACACGGCCACGCTGCTTGCCTCCGTCACCTGCTGTTCTGGCGGGCAGACCCCAACGTGGCTCCGGGAGGCCGGAGCGCTCTGCACGAGGCCTGTGAGGGGGGCCACACAGACTGCGTGGAGCTCCTCCTGGAGCACAAAGCCAACCCCAACCTCCTGAGCGACGATGGCTTGGCCCCACTGCACCTGTGCACCGACCAGAACACGTTGGGGTAAGAAGGGGCTGGGCCCGGCTGCCTGCACCCTCCCGCCACCTCCTCCCCTGCTATTAACCTCCATCAGCGTTCCCTGTAAGCTGAGCGCTTGGGCGGCCACCCAGGAAACTCAAGGGCCACCCAGCTGATCAGCAGAGCGCCCTTAGTTGGCAGCATGTGTTTCTATTGGTAGTGCACATTCCTTGGTGCACATAACAAAAATTATTCCACACATGGGTGGCAAAATACAGCAGGGACGTTGAGCACCACCCCCTTGCAACTACAGCATTCATTTAGCCTCCACCAGGCCGTCAATTCTTCTCTCCATGGGCCTGGTCCAGTGCCCCTAGGAGCCTGCACAAAGACTCCTCTAGCCCCGATGGCAGCTTCGAGGCATCCTGCCCCAAGCAACGTGCCATTCCCTGAGTTGCAAAGTGACAATGCATGGAGGTGCAGGGCAATTCAGGTTGAGAGAAGGCAGATAAAATCGACTGCTCCTTACACACTAGCTGGACACCCTGGGTCTAGTCAGCACCTTCTCTCCTGGTTCTCTTAACAACAGGAATTCGGTTTTACTACGTGATAGCCCCCAGGGCCACTCCACACGCCCCCGGCCCCCAGTCGGTTCGGTTTAGGAACAGGCTATATTATTGAGCACAGGTCTAGTTCTGCATGGGTTCACAGGTCTAGTTCTGCAAGTCAAATATTGTGACTTGGGGGGTAGGGCTCAGAGGGGTGGCCATGTTAGTCTGTAACTTTAAAAACCACGAGGAGTCCTGTGGCACCTATCACCTGGTCGACACGAGGGTGTTATTTCAAAATTAACAAGCGGTGCATCCACACAACCAAGCCTGTTCTTTCGAAATAACAGGCCACTTATTTCAAAATCGGTACTCCTGCTTTCCTGGGGGAAAAATATAAGAACATAAGAATGGCCGTACTGGGTCAGACCAAAGGTCCATCTAGCCCAGTAGCCTGTCTGTCAATAGTGGCCAGCACCAGGTGCCCCAGAGGGGTGGACCGAAGACAATGATCAAGCGATTTGTCTCGTGCCATCCCTCTCCAGCCTCTGACCAACAGAGGCCAGGGACACCATTTCTAGCCCCTGGCTAATAGCCTTTTATGGACCTAACCTCCATGAAATTATCTAGCTTCTCTTTAAACTCTGTTATAGTCCTAGCCTTCACAGCCTCCTCTGGCAAGGAGTTCCACAGGTTGACTACACGCTGTGTGAAGAAGAACTTTCTTTTATTAGTTTTAAACCTGCTACCCATTAACTTCATTTGCTGTCCTCTAGTTATTCTATTAAAATAATTGTTCTAATAACGCCAGTTCCGGAATTGTTCTTTCAAAAGAGTAGTGCGGTGGATGCTCTGTGGCCACTCTTTCGAAATAATGACTTCCTGGCGTCATTTGAAGCAATGACTCCGCAGGGCTTCTTGGAGCGCTAAGCCGGAGGTTGTGCATCCAAATGAACAGAGCCTGCCTCAGACTGATTTCTAGGCTTCTCTGGGGTGTGTTTGAGTTTGTAAAATCAGGAGTTATTACATCAAATTTAGGGATTTCGAAATAGTGCCCTAGTGTAGACGTGCCCTTAGAGACTCACCAAATGTGTGTGTGTATATATAGGATCACAAACTTTCCTGGGTAAAATCACGCACTTCCTCGGGTGCGTGAAGGTGGTAACTGTGGAGAGCACCCTCCCTCACCCACACCCAATGGGGCAAGAATGGCCAAGGAACGTGCTAATGATTCAGTGCATTCTCCGGGTAATCTCAGCAAGCAGAGCCCGTAAGGGTCCTGGCAGGTTTTCAAGCAGCCGTCTGTTGGAATCGCTACCGCAGGGGTGTGGTAATGGGAATAAGGCAAACCTTCGTGCAGGAGTGAACTCCTTTAGCTATGGTGTGGCCCCATGCATGGAAGGAGATACCCATTTTGCCCTTTCCGTCTTGCAACAAAAACTCTACTAATTCTAGCCCAATCAAGGAACATCTGAAACCTCAGGAAGCGTCCACGTGCCCTGGGTTGGTGCAGAATAGATTAAGACATTAAAAAAAAATCACATTCGTCCCGGCTGCGATCTAAGCCACGTTTCAGCTCAGTCTGACTTGACATGTCTGGATCATTAAAACTTGGAAAGCATTTTTTTTTAGAAAGCTGAGCTGCCTTGATATCTTGGCAACGCGGCTTTGATAGTGCAGTGAACTTCGTTACCTGCCCGTTTCAACGAAAGGCTACCCTGGTTTCAAACCCGTCCCTTTTCGACCGGCGGAGACACGACACAACACGAGGTTGTGGGTCTTGGATAACCAAGGTGCCAAACAAGTGTTTGCAAGCAGAAATCTCGCAAGCATCTCATCAAAACAGGAATCTTGACAAAGCACCGAAAGGGATTCAACCACAATCTATGGGTGGAACAAAGAACAACTTGATGAGGCCACTTGATGATGTCTTGTGTGAAAACGACTTTCCAAGAGGGTAGCTGGACGGATATTGTGCTGTGATACTGAGCTGCAATCGCCAAGAAAGGGCCGGCATTTTCCCCCCATGCATCTCTATCAGAACAGAATTAGTCCTTACATTTCCCTTTTCATATTTTCTCTCTTAAAACCGAAAGTTTGGTCCACAAGTGCATGAGTGAAAATAATGACTTACTCCAGCTTTCCGATTATAACTATTTATGTGTCCACATGCCAGATTCACTCTCTCGATCAGAAAGATGCTGGAGATGAGGGGGGAGAGTTTTACTTGCTGGCACAACACGGAAAAGTCTCCTGCTCGGCTCTGGTAGTCGCTCTCCAAGCTGAGGTGATGGCCGTGGTTTTTCAGGAGTGGGGAGGCACACCTGCAATCCAAGTTCCAGACAGAGGCAACATGGACCCAGCTGAGTTGTAAGCCCTTGAATATTGGGGCTTTATCATGGAAATGGTGGCAAGCCCTCAACTAAAGCAGTGCTACCCGGGGCCTCTAACTCTACCTTGAAGGATCAAAAATTATTAGACAGGTTTTGAGGTTTCGCCCACAGCTTTTCAATTGCAAAGACTTTTGCTAAAGTTAGACGCTGCCGGGGTCACGTTTGGGTAACATAAACATTCTGTCTGATTAAGAGACTCTACTTTCCCTGATTTTGAGTAGTAGGATTTTATGTCGTCCTTAATTTTTCACTGACAGCAGAGAGCAGGTCACTGACCTACATACAGAGCTATTTTATTTTGCTCCCTCTTGCTAACAATGGCCAGAACACCGATGTGTCGGGTTCCTCTGTATTCCCGTATAGTCGGCAATTCACCATGGGGCAGGACTTAAAACCTTTGAGCCTCTGAGTGACTGGGATAAAAAAAAATTATCTGGGCTTCCTTCCAGCCATTTGAGCTTCAGAATCCATGAGAATTCAACCAAAAAAAAAAGGGATATCAGAGCTTTAATCTAGGAGCTTTTTGAAGAGATTTTTTAAAAAGTTCCAGTAAAGTTCACTCTTGCCTTCTTCGCTTTAGGAGCCAGGCATGCCAACTTCGCCCTATTTAGTAGCGAGTTCCTCTCCTTGACCTCCTTTTTTCAGCCGAGATAATTAACATGGTGGGGTAAGCCGAATCTCTAAATTTACTGCACTCTGTCTTTTTTTATTCCCCTTTTGCTAAAGGTGGGATGATTAAAAAGAGGAGAATTGAGTTGATTTTTTTTCCTCTTTCAAAGAGACTCAAATTGAGGGGGAGAAAAAGGCCTTTGCTTCTAAACGTTGTCTGCAGCGCCGGAAGGAAATAAACACAGGAGCCTAGAAAGAGTCAGGTGTGCGTCAGAAGGCCGGGGCAGGACTACCGGAGTCGATGGGACATTTCTGTCAGGTCTGGAGACCCCGTCGCATGAAATGACAAGATCCATTGGTTTCCATGAGGAACATGAGCATTTGCGCTGGGCGGGCGGGCCCGCGTGTGAGGTTGGGGCCTTCCAGTCATACATCTCCTGCTTTCCACATGAAAAGCCATTCTGCCTTGCTCTACCCCATTGCTTCTGGAGCAGCACCATGGACTGGAAGCCAGCAATGGGAGAGGATGGAGCTGGGGTCTGGACACTCCCCGTTCTAGCTTTCCTCCTGGCTTTCTGAGTGGTACTGATGCTCTGGGACTCCTTCCCATTGCCAACTGCAGCTGAAGGTTGGTGCCATCACAACCAGCCACATCACCTGTCATGGTGGCTTTTAGAGACCCCCCTCCATAGCTGGAAAAGGCTGTAGCCTTCCAACACCCCCTCCACTTCCTTCCCAGCAGCAGGGACAAAACCAGGAGGCTCCAGGAGAAAGCCACTGTTGCGTGCATCCGTGCCACGCGCAAACAGACGTATCCGGTGATACAGTCTAGAGAAGCAGGGTGAGCAAACCATTGAATCGCAGAGTTGTTATCCACAGGTGTCCACCAATAAGGGGCGGATACGCCTCTCCTCTCTCAGGGAGCTTACAACGTTTCCCCTCGTTTTCCCCCCTCGATGTTTCCATAGCTGTTACATTAGTCACTTTCGGCTAATTTTATTTACATAACTTTTCTTTAATGGAAAGATGTAGCAGGGACCCCTGAAAAAATAGAGTGCTGAACTCTGATATGTGCAAGGGATGTTATCCAACATAGATCAGAGTTACACATTGGTTGACTGGAATCAGTTGCCTAGGGGGGTTGTGGAATCTCCATCACAGGAGATATTGAAGAGCAGGTTGGACAGACACCTGTCAGGGATGATCTAGACCAGTGTTTCTCAACCCATGGTAGGAGTACACTTAGGGGTACTTGAGAGAAGTCTGGGGAGTACACTTATGGGTACTTGAGAGAAGTCTGGGGGTTAGGTCAAAATAACGGACGGCTTATTCTGAAATCGGTAAACCTCATTCTACAAGGAACAGCTATTATTTCAAATAGCTATTTCAAAATAAGGAGTCTGTAGATGCTCCACTGATGCTATTTCACAATAGCCCCTTACCAGGGTCATAAGAACATAAGAACGACCATACTGGGTAAGACCAAAGGTCCATC